AAGGCGAATTTAGCCCTATTCAAAAAACGTTAAGCGATCGCATTAGCGATCCGAAAAAATGGATCGCTATGCGATTTCATCATTATGCGGTGCGCTCGTTAAGCGAGGCACCACTGTACCTTTGCAAATGAAAGCACAAAAATTCTAATCTATATCCCTTCTCCAAACTAATTTCCCAGTTTTCTTAACATCTGAGTGAGAAAGATCTACCTGAGGTACGAATGGAAAAACAAAACAAAAGAAAAAAATTACTCATGTATAAGTAACATGATCTGAAGTTATGGCACAGCTGATTTACCCCAGTTCTGTTAATTATCACTTTCTATTTTTTGTAAGACAAACAATCAGTTAAAGAGAGAAAGAGAGAGAGAGTGTGTGTATTTAAATGAGTGAGTGAGATATACAGTAGATGTTACTTGCAGGTACAGCACTTAATGGTAGCTGTTTTTTACTGAAAATACTCTCATCTTTCAATTTCTGTACTAGTTACAAATCTATGTGGCGTCTTCTATCATAGCTAATATGGTCCTCCTTTTGTTTTGTTTAAGGCATTTTTATACTACTGTTTTTCGTCTCTTTCTGGTGTTTAAAGATAAGTTACAAAACTGAAAAATCATCTCTCTATTCTTTTTGTGGTATCACTGTTCCTGCAGATAGAAACTGTTAGATGACTACAAGAATACCTGGTTTGGGGGATTCAGTTCTCTGTCATAATTTGGGAAGGTTTTAATATTCTCTATATGTTTCTCTTTAATCTGTGGCACATTGGGGCAGTCTGGGGGTCCTGTTTCATCCTACATGTGTGGAGTGAGCCTCTATCTCAAAGTATGGGCTGCCTTGTGAAAACCCAGCATAGTAAAGTAATAAATACCAAGAGATACAAGAGATACCAAGAAAGAAAATAGTAATGATATTCTGTTTCAGAATAAACTGTACCTCAATAGTGAAGGTATTTCTTAAGCAAAACATACAGGTGCGTTCACTGCAAAGAGACATATGTTCACTAGTCAGAGCATCCTCCTTTAGAAAAGCCAAGGATATTGAAAAGTGACTCCTTGTGATCAGCTTTTGGAAGAAAGGGCTTCAAGCTGAACTGTGCTACTCTGTCAGAAGTCTATTATATCAGTCTCTGCATTGGACAAGTGAACAAGAAAGATTCTGTAGGTCAGCTTGGCTCTGTAAAGTCTCAGTCTTAGAATCTGCACTTCAGTCTGAGCAACTTCTAATGAGATCTTGTTCCTGCTGTATGTCCCTTCCCCAACAGCATGTATTGAAATCAGTGGTTCTTAACCTTTGTTACTCAGGTGTTTTTGAACTGCAGCTCCCAGAAACCCCAGCCAGCAGAGCTGATGGTGAAGGCTTCTGGGAGTTGCAGTCCAAAAACATCTGAATAACAAAGGTTAAGCACCAGTGATGAGCATTTATGTTTTCTTGGTCTCTCTCGTTGTTAGCTACCATCCTGGATCATGTTTGCCAGCCTCTCATGTTGACCTGCTTGTGATCTCCACCTGAAGGATAATTTGCTTCGTCCCACTATTAATGTTCTGACTCATTACTTAGGATGCAAACTTCTACCAAATCTATGCTACCTAATTTACCTCTTTTTCCCCTTCTCATTTAGAGTAAAAGAAAATAGTACTCAATACTGGGTATTCTAACAACAGGAAAGCTTAAAACTTTATTCCTTCCCTCCTGAGATCCAGGGATCATTGGAGGTGGACCACAAAAGTGAAGACCAGACCTCCCTATGCAGTCACCACTGAAATTACTCTTACTTCCTTGCTAGGACACCTGAGAAAAACAGTTTTTCTTCATCTTGCCCAGCTAATCAAAATATTGCTCATATTTGAAATTTATGGCAAATGTCACTTCTGGTTTTTTTCCTGTAGATGCTTTCAAATGATTAAATTTCACAAATGTATGTAAAACACACACATATATAAAAAGAGAGGGATATGTGTGTATAAAAATATACAATACAGCAGAAATGTTTTGGGGGAAAAATTTTTAGCGTTCTCTGCTTTGGGGTCTGCCATCATTATTTGCCCTTTTAAAATTGTGTTAGTGCACAGTATTTTTAGTATGCTAGAAATGGAACACTAAGTATTTGCTAATAAGAGGCCTAATCTGTGGAAATGAAAGTTCTAAAACAAAAAGCCCCAAGTTTTTTTTTTTTAAAATAACTATAACCAATAACATGAGTACAACTTGTGCAATATAGGAACAATGAACATTAACAAAGACCTGGCAGGAATTGAGATAGTAAGGTTAAGTTAAAATAGGTCAGTAACTGATTGTTTAAGCAAATTTTGCTAGAAAATGCTGAAAAAATGAAATTAAAAATGTTGCAAAATAGCATGCAAAAATTGCTTAATATTGTAACCCTATGTATACTATTCCTTTTTCAAAACTTACAGGGAAGTGGGCCTGAGGAAGTTAATGGTGCAAACTGTTAGGTTCTAGGTACTGTTCAAACTAAGGGTTTTTTTCAGAGGAGAAGAAAATACGAGATCAGAAGTTTCTAGAAGATTTAGAAGGGCAAGATGTTTTATTCAGTGCTCTGAGATACATTTGTATTTTTAGTCACAAAAATATATCCAGTATATATTTTAAATATTGGCTGATACTTTGTTCTTCTTCCTCTATAGGGATCAAGGATGACAGGATGACACAGTTCTGAAAGGGGGAAAAAGAAGACGGAAGTGCCAGAAGAATATGGAAGTATATGATTATTTTTATTCTATTGGAACTGAGTTTTAAATGGTCCATCTTCAACAATGAGTGACTATACTGCAGCAACGATGGATAAAAATGGAACTTGGGTTTTTTTCACAAATACTTAGTGCAGGAATCATCCAAGGACTACTGCACCTGTTCTGCATCAATCTTTGTAGAATGCTATAGACTTGCTTGTTTAGCTGAATCCCGTTCACCTTCAAAGAATTAGACCTTAAAAGTGAATAAAAAGGGAACCTTTGTGGATATTCTTATTGAACATGACTCATGGAGAAGAGCTTGTCTCTGAGATGCACCAGGATTCTGTTGTTCTAACTTACCTAGAAGGATTACTAATGCATCAAGCAGCAGGAGGTTCGGGTTCTGTGGTTGATAAAAAGCCTGTTGGGCCTGATGCAGAAGAGCAGAACTTCAAAGTTTCTGGAAATACATCTCCCACTTGTCAGAGAGATGGTCCAGTTCCTAACACAAATATATATCGAGGTTCTAGTATGCTGCACCATAAAAAGGCAAGACTATTACAGTCTTCTGAAGACTGGAATGCTGCAAAGAGAAGACGGCTGTCTGATTCTATTGTGGATTTAAATGGAAAAAAAGAAGCTTTGTTAGCTGGCATGGTTGAAAATGTGCCTAAAGGCAAACAGGATAGCACATTACTGGCCTCTTTGCTTCAGTCATTCAGCTCTAGGCTTCAGAGTGTTGCTTTGTCACAACACATTAGGCAGAGCCTCAAGGAGCAAGGGTATTCCCTCAGCCATGATTCTCTGCAAGTTGAGAAAGACTTAAGGTGCTATGGTGTTGCATCCAGTCACTTGAAGACTCTGTTGAAGAAGAGCAAAGCAAAAGATGAAAAGCTGGAAGCAGGTCTGCCTGAGGGAACAGCAAATACAGTTAAAGATCGGTTTATAGAGTCTTCACATACAGGACAGAGTGGTCCAAAGGTGATGAGTGAGTCACTCTCTTGTGCTGCACGACTACAAGCTGTTGCAAGCATGGTAGAAAAAAGATCTAGTCCTGCTACATCTCCCAAACCCAGTGTGGCTTGTAGTCAACTAGCTTTGCTTCTTTCAAGCGAAGCACACTTGCAGCAGTACTCCAGGGAACATGCTCTAAAAGCACAAAATGCTAATCAGATTGCAAGTGAGAGGCTTGCTGCTATGGCAAGATTAAAAGAAGGTATTCCAAAAGATGTTGGACATTTCAAACTATCCAAAGGAGCAGAAAGCCATTTGAATGGTCAAGTAAGATCGTCATCCAAATCAATACCCAACAAAAGCAATATGAAACATTTTCAGAGTCCCATGGGCATAATTCATTCATCTCCCAAAAGCATAAGCTATAAAGCAACAGTGGAAAAAAATCATTTCAAGCCACCAAACAATAGTAGTTTACTTTTGCACCTCCTTAAAAATCACAGTGCTACCAAGCAGATTATGGGGTACGAACAGAATGACCGATCAAGTATTTTTGAGGAAAGTAGTACACCAACTACTGTTGATGACTACTCTGACAACAATCCAAGTTTTACAGAAGACGACAGCAGTGATGATGAAAGTTCTCATTCTAATTGTCTTCCTATAGATTTATCTTTCAAACAGAAAACAAATACATCAGATCCTGTGCCACCATCTTCTCTTGATAACTTAACACAATCCCTACTTCATAAAGTTCCTCCTCTAGAAAATATGCAAGAAGAAGATCCCTCTAAAAGTACAAAACTGAATCCACATCAAAAAGTAACCTTGCTTCAACTATTACTTGGCCATAAAAATGATGAAAATTTTGAGAAAATTACCGAAACAGAAGGAACATTAGTTGCAACTGATGTCGTAAAGTTTAATGTGCCAACAGGTAATAGATCTCCTGTGACAGATTGCTCTAGTGCAAATCGAATTACTCCAGTAACCACTCCCCCTTCGCTAACTTCTACAAAATCTGATTCACCTATCAACCTTTCACATCATTCTCCCTTATTGATCAAACATAGTTCATCACCATATACTTGCATTATACAGCCTGAGAGACTAATTAATCCAGCTTCTAAACACTTGATAGATCTAACAGTACACAAAGAACTTCAAGGAAATAAGCAGAACAGAAAAGAAAATGTACGAACATCTTCATCTTTTAGTGCAAGTAAACTTTTGCAGAACTTAGCTCAGTGTGGGATACAGTCTTCCGTGTCAGTGGATGAACAAAGACAAACATGCAAACAGGTAATGACATTGAACACAGAGAAGCCAGTTGGATTGATAGATGGGTTGAGTAGCTCCCTAGCTGCTAACACAGCAGGTGTGCTTGAAGAAGAAAAAATACTTAGTAATCAGCCTCTACCAGCAGAACAAAAATTTGCTAGTTCAGAAATCCAGAATCTGCTTGAAAGACGCACTGTCCTCCAGTTGCTTCTTGGAACATCAAATAAAAGTGTGAGTGAAGCAAAAGACTTAATGCCTTCAAAAGAAGAAAATTTACAAAACACAACAGAAAAAGCTTTGAATGAGCCAAGGTTAAGTGTAAAAATAAAATCAGAACCTTCTGAGGAATCAAATGACCATCAGAATTTAAGTGCACAACAAATAAGGGAAAGTGTTAACAAGAAATTCCATGGAATAACTCATTCATTAGAAAGAAATGCAGCTACGTCTCCAGCATCAGAAGAATTTAAACCCAATCCTCTCTCTCCTCAAGATTTTTCTTTTTCCAAAAATGGCCTACTCAGTCGACTGCTTAGACAGAATCAAGATGCTTACCCTATAGATGATCTTGATAGAAGCCACAGAAACAGTGAACAGACATTTGTGGAATCAAAAAGTCACAGCACTGTCCCAAAGAAGAGAAAGCTTCATTCTGAATTTCCAGAAGGTTCTTTAAAAATAGTAAAAGGTAACAAGGGTAACATACCTGGTGTTGTGAATACTCATAGACTTTCTGCTGATGTCTTGTATGGGACTGGTCTTAACCAGAAAGAATTAAATCTTAGCAGAACTGACCTGGAATTAAAATATTCTTCAGGACATGCTTCTAATAATGACAGTGAAAGTAGGAGTTGGTCTAGGGAAAGCAAAGGGTTTAATGTGCTGAAACAATTGCTCCTGTCAGAAAACTGTGAAAAAAACATGCCTCAGCATAGGAATAGTTCACCAGTAACCGATGGCAAAAAGAAAAGTAACAAAAGTAATATTACAAATAATAGCAAAGCTGAATTCAATGTCTCTCCGGTCCATACATTTGTAGGAAACCCTGGGCAACAATCCAATTGTTTGGATCACCGAACATTTCAGTATTCAGTTGCAGTAAAGAGTCCTGCCAGTTCTCCCTTCACTGAGCACTTAGGAGGCACAGTGTCATCAAAACATGAATGTGACCAGTTTAGTGTTTGCCACATACCTAGTGAAAAGGGACCTATAAAATGGGTCATTACAGATACAGACAAAAATGAGCATGAGAGGGAGTCCCCAAGACTGACCAAAACAAATCCAATATTGTATTACATGTTACAAAAGGGGGGCAGTTCTGTTAATATTCAGGAAGCACACAGCAAAGATGCCTGGAGTAATACATCATTTACAGAAAATTCATCAACTGTCACATTCAAGAAAGAATTGTCACCTCTTGGAGAATGTAAAGTACCATTTCATAATGTAAGAAATACATACAGTAATCATTCAAATAATAAAGTGTCCCTTCAACACAATGTGAATGGAGATGTATATGGACTCTTAGGAAAAGTGATAACAATAAAAAAAGAACCAGAGTAAATTATCCTATAAACTGTTTACATGCAGGTTTAAGTCTTTACTTTTAAAAATAGTGTTATATAAATCTAGCATGATTTGAGAAAAGCATGGTATAACTGAAACATGGTTTTGTTTGGTGAACATTTTTGCTGATATTTAGAGTACATATTGCTTTTTTCTCTTATTTTGGTCTTTATAGGACATATGTCACAATTTAATTAACAAGTTATTAAATATATAAGTCTTCATGTGAAATTTGTGGCTGGGAGACCTAGGTTCCTCTTGCACTTACTTTTCCTGACATAATTGCTGCTGCTATTACAGTCCTCTAACACCAGTCTGAGTATGTGTTAAAGATTCCATCCAATGTGGTTCAGCTTCCTCACATGTCTCCAGTTCATGCCAGTAATGAAACATGGACCTCCTGATTTGCTATGGTGACATGTAGGTCATTTGCAAATATGGTGGGGAACTGAACCACATGGGTAGACCTGGCTTGTGAAAAATGAACCATATGGGTAACAGCAACTATAATGGGAAGGAGGATCTTACTTGGAACTACTGGTATTACACATGTAACACAATGTGACACATTACTGGAAGCAGAGTCTTTTGCACCATTTTATCTTGTTTTGTAATATACTTACTTTTAAAATTCTAAGTACTGGGGCAGTTGAATTCTGTGTTTTTCATAAATTTATGAAATGTGAAGAATATTTTTTATAAATGGAACACTCAGACCAAACTGTGTGTTTATTTTATTTGTAATCCTCATCAGTGTTGACTAGAGAAATGGACAGAAATGAAACTTTTAGTGCTTCCAAATGGCTTTTAATTATCTTTTGATATCAAGGAGAAATGCAGAAAATATGTCTTTTCTTTTTGTTGCATTTGGAAATTGCCTCCTACAGACACTCGGCAGAAGAAAACACATAGTTTACTACTTTTTTAAAAAAAAAATTAACCTGGATTTATGAAACGCTGGCAGTAAAAGTAGATATCTTGTCCACTTTCACTTGTTTGTTCATTTACACTTGGTTAAGTCACCTCATGAGTTCAGTACTTGAGAAAAGCTTGATTTTCCAGAACCAATTTTGATTTTGTTTTAAGACAGATATATAATAGAATGGTTTAACCATCACCTTGGTCTCAATTAGCATCAATTAGTCTGTGAACATTTATGGTAAATGTATTAGACTATACTGTCCTGGAATTAATAAGGCTATTCTAAATTGAAAGAGTGGAATTACCATTTTATAAATGGAAATCCAAGAAACAAAAAGATTTCAATGTATTCTAAAACTGATATTAAATGAAGTGCAAGCAAGCTTTCATTTAATTGACTACCTTGTTTGTAAATGATGAGAGATGTGTAAACAATCAGCAAGGAAATACCACTAAGATTTAACAAAATTGTTTTTACTATCTTCAGTATTTTTGAAATAGATTGTTCAAGTAGGATATTTTTGATTAATCTTTAATTTCATTTCAATAAAATTCTGTCTGCTGCAATAACATAAAACATGTAATATTCTGAATAACCATCCTGTTGATTCTGAATATTTAGATTTTGTAACACATCATGAAGGGCTAAATCCAACATCCCACTGGTACTCACAGCCTTCCCTCCCCTTCAGCCCTTTATGTTGTCCCCAAAACAGCCTCTCAAAGGTTTCTAAACCCCCAAGCTCAGTTTTTGAGTGAATATAGGAGGCTACAGTGGTACGGGGGATCACTTCCTCCTGGTTCCACTGGATCCTGCCATCCAGCAGAATACCATCATTGGCTCCTGTCTAAATTTACAGATATACATACAGAAACACAGAATGCTCAGTAACAGGTTTCATTGTAACCCAGTCAAGACTTATTGAAGTCTTCCACAGATTTTTGAGGGGTTTTAGTAGTGCCTTGGAGCAAACAGATAATTTCAGTACAGCTCACTTTACTGAGGGATTTAAACTATGAAGAATACATGTGTATTACTCTTCTATATATAAGATATGCATTTCAGTCAACTTCCATTACAAGCATGGCTTCAGTTGAAAACTATCATTTGGCTGCTGCAGTCCTACCCTTTTATCTGGAATATAGCTCTATTGAATTAAATGTGGTGCACTTTTGAGTACACACATACAAGATTATGCTGATGAAGTAAGTGTTTTAATTTGTTTCAAATCATTTCAAACTTGAACAGTAAAAACTGAAATATCACATATTCAAACTAAGTAGTAGTTGTGTTTTAGATCAGTGGTTCTTAACCTTTGTTACTCGGATATTTTTGAACTGCAACTCCCAGAAACCCCAGCCAGCACAGTTGGTGGTGAAGGCTTCTGGGAGTTGCAGTCCAAAACTCCTGAGTAACCCAAGGTTAAGAACCAGTGTTTTAGATCATGGGTACTAGAACTGGATTTGTTTTTGTTTTGTTTTTTAGCCTCAGTAATTGTTAGAGATATTTGTTCCATCAATTAAGGTTATCTATTAAGTATATCATCTGTTACTATTCTTAAAATTGTGTGAATGGATCATTATGAATTAAAGACTATGTAAATTAATCCTAGAAAAGATACAAATATGGAATTTACCCAGTGGGCCATATTTAGATTTATAAAAAGAATCTAGTGCAAATTGAAATTAAAATCTGGCTAAAACGTTTTTATCTCATAGTTTATAATAATTCTACTGCATCACCTTTGAAACAGTCATGCATGTGCTAATTCAATGCAAATGTAGAATTATTGAATAATGGAATTGGAAAGGGGGTATAAGGCCACCGAGCTCAACCCCCTGCTCAATGCAGGAATCCAAATCAATGCACATCTGAAAGATGGTTGTCCAATTTTCTCTTTAATGCCTCCTGTGTTGGAGCGCTCACCACCAGTTTTTCCTGATATTCACCCTAAATCTGGCTTCCTGTAGCTTGAGACCATTATTATATGTTGTGCACACTGGGATGATCAAGAACAGATCCTGCCCCTGCTCCGTATTTGAAAAGTGCTATCATATCTCCCCTCGGTCTTCTTTTCTCAAGGCTAAATATACCCAGTTTTTTTCATTATTTCCTTACATAGAAAAATGTAGCTTCAGTCCGGTGATACAGACTGCATTTCGGTATCTTGAACATGTACCAGCCTGTTCAGCACTGAGGGTAAAGAGATAATAATTTTATTCAGCTTGAACCATAAAGAGATTATAATGGTTGACAGATGAGCTATATTCCCTTAGGAGTTACCTATACAGCTCTATAAGCACTCACAGATAAGAGAGACAAGTAGTGCAAATTAATGTTCCATATAACCTTTCTTATCAATGACAGTAGTTATTAAATTCCATCCTAAATATTTACTTATTTGACACAACAAATCTCAGGATTACGTAACAAATGAGATTTGACCTAGGAAGTTTTAAATAAATAAACCAGCTGCCTTAACCTCATGGAACTGAATAACTTAACCACAACAGTAATGTCCTGTCAAGTCAATTCTGACTTATGTCAACCCTTTTCAGTGTTTTCCAGGTAGACCATACTCAGAAGTGGCTTACTCTTCTTCCCTTCTTTTCAGGGGTGGGTGGGTTTTGAACTGGGCATCTTGTCCAAGGCCGCACAGGCTGGCTCTTCTTCCTGAAGCCACAGTGAGGAATACAACTTAGGGATGGGGCAAAGCCATGCTTTTTCTATCCATCTTATATATTTCGAAAGACAAAGCACACTTATCAACTAAAATGGCAATTTGATGCATGATAGAGGACAAAAAGTATCCATGATTATGGCTTGCCTGTGTTGTTTAGACATAGATACAAACTTAGCTTGGGGCAGGGGGAGATTATCTGAGCCAAAGGCACATGTAGATGTATCCTTTCAGTTCATCTTTCAAAGTTTCATACTTTTACCTATGCTTTCTTCTGATACTAGGAGAAAATAGACTCCTGAAATGGACTTCAGGAAAGTAAAGTAAGAGGATATGGATTCTGCACTTCTCATTTTATTTGCCCCCATTGTTTAAATCAGATTTCACTTCACTGCTTTTTATATGACTGGTACAGGCTTAAATGCATGAATATGGCATGATCCGGGCAGTTTCAGCTGCAGTGGGGAAATATAAAAGACAATATAGTTCCATAAAAGATGGAGTCAGGACGTAATGATAAAGACAGCAAAAAAGTAAGCACTTTCCTTGTAATCTGGAGAAATAATGTGAAATTAGGCATAGAGCACAAAATATCTTTTGTTTTCTTGCCATTTTTAGAGGTGAACACAAGTTAGGACTTAACAAAGACATTAGAAATAGAGAAAAGCTATTCAAAGTTGTAATAGTATCTATGCTTAGAAGTAAACCCAGTTGATCACTGTGGCTGAAATCCAATAGTAATTTGCAAGTAGTGTAGGCCATTTACTCAGTGGGGATTTCATGGGTTTACAGTTATGTAAGTTCAATTGACTCAATGGGCCTACTCTTAACTGTGACCTACCGGATTTCAGCTACTGGGTCTAAATTTACACGTAGGCATGCATAGGATTGGCCTGCCCATCTGGATCTAAATCCAGTTTTACTCCCAACGATAATGGAATCATGGAAATCAGTGTGGTGATTGTGTACATTAGTGTTGACTAATATGTCATTTCAGTGGGTGTACTCTAATTTGGACTAAAATTGGATCTAGCCCCTGAGAATGTATGTACACTTATGTAAAAATTAATTTTGTTGTATTCAGTGCATCTTACTTGGAGAAAAAAAATGAGAATTATTCTTAAAAACATTTTTGTAGGAGGAATTTCAGTTTTTGAAGGCAGAACACAATCGTTTGAATGGAAAAATCAGCCATGTGTTTTCTTCTTAAGCGATATTTTTTAAAAAATATATTATCAAATGCTTAGTTTACTTTTTTCAAAACAACACAATTTCATTTCCCCCAACAAAATGTCTGTCAAATGTGATAGAATTGTCACTTGTGACAGAAAATATAACCAGTTTATTCTCTGCTGCATTTTAGTTGAGTAAACTGGCAAGTTATATTTTATATACATAAATAAATGTATATGTATACATTTGTAAATATGTAGAGTTGTTACACATATATGTTGAAATTGGTTTTTTAAAAAAACGATGTAAATAGTGGTTTCTTTAATGAAAAATACATATTTTGTATCCTATCTAATGCAAAGGAATAAACATTTTAATCTTTTTGTTATGTATATTCCATGTATTAAGTGTAAATATGATCACATAGATTTAATTTTTTGCATGTATGTATACAGTTGCAAGTCTGGACGAATGTATAAAACATGTTTATTTAAAACTGTAATTACCTGCTGCATGAAAAATGCATGGGGGACCCTGTGCATCTCTGCAATGGCAAAATGTCTTAAGTCAAACCAGATGTTTATCAAATACAATTGTATTCTGTTTCTGGACATGACTTTGCTGTGGTATTTTAGCTTTGTAAAAGAATGTGCTTCAAATGAAAGGGTCGGGGGGAAAACAACTCTTTTTTCTTTTTAAACTTAAAGAGTATCTTTCTGTACCCACCACAAGCATCATGAACTTTTTTATTCCCTTTCAAACACTGAAAAATCTGTTTTAGAGTTGTCAAATAGTGTAATATCAGTTATCATTGCCATACATAAGAATTCTGGGGTTTATGCAATCTTTTTGTTGTGGAGTTTTCACTAATTTAATGGTTCTCATTTTTATTAGATAATGATTTATTCATGTGATGTCATAAAACTGTATATAATGCAGTGTGAAGTTTTTTTAATTCTCTCAGTGTTTACTTCCTGCAAAAAATTTGAATAAATGAGAAAAATGCAATGAATGGTGTTTTTAATCTTAATTATTATAGCAATCTGTTTATACCCTAAATACTAACTGTGTTTACTCACAAGTGCCGTGACAGTCTCCACCACCCTTACAGAGTAGCATCTTCTGGTCAAACAAAACTGCATGATTGTAAACATGTAAAATAGAGGGATGCAGCTAGTCAGTACACTATAAAACAGCTGCTGGATCTGGCGTTCACAAACTATCCAGCATCGCCCCATGTGTAATCATGTGGGGTCCACTGAATAACCTGCTGGTCTTCCTTCATCTTATGAAATTATGTTTTGTCTCTGCAAATTGAATTGAACCATAGTTTCTGAAGTGGTATTGATCATTGGATTGGACAATTTAGGAAAGGAGCTAAGGCTGGAAGTTCAAAGCCCTATTGTGCTTTCTTGGGGGAGGGGCCAGATGAGTTCACCCATACCATGTGTGCTTGATGGATTTACATGCTCTTCTACCTTTGTGGCCTTGAGCAAACTGCACAGTGCCAGAACAACACTAGAAGGAGATTTTGCTCTGGGGCCTCCTGAGCACTTCCAAGTACTTCATACCTAGAAAACCCCGAGAGAGAGTGACTGTTGGACATAAGCCATTTAATAATAATTTTAGCCTTAGATAGCTCAGCTTCAGGCCTTGAAATAGATTTATCTACTACCTATTTGCTGTCCGTTCAATGGATTTAAATGGGGAAAACAAAAAATCACCAAAAATTAACGAAGACTCAGAACAAAACCAAATTAAGTTTGCACATGTTTCACAAGGTGCACTACCAAATCCAAACATTTAAAACAGGTTTCAAACATTTTAAGACACTTAAAAATGAGCGAAAACAGACATTGGAAAGCCATTCAAAGCCAGCTTCAGTGCTTTTGAATGGCTTTCCCTTGGGGGAAACATTGTTTCACTTAGCGATGTTTCCAGTGGGGATTTTCGCTTAAGGACGGCAATCCGTTCCCATTGGAACGGATTAACCGGTTTTCAATGCATTCCTATGGGAAATGGTGTTTCGCTTAACAATGTTTTCCCATAGCGATGTGTTTTTTGGAACCAATTAACATCGTTAAGCGAGGCACCACTGTAATCATTTTGCATGCCTTTATTGCATTTGCCCACTGCTCAAGTGGTGGAGTCCTGTGGGTGGGATACAAGTACAGTGGGGTCTTGACTTAAGAACGGCTTGAGTTAAGAACATTTTGACTTCAGAACCACTCTCATAGGACAATATCGACTTGACTTACATACTTAGATTTGAGTTAAGAACTGAAAAAAAACCACGTGGGAGGCAGGGAAAGTGCAAAATTTGAACTTTCAGTTAACTGTTGGCCAGTGAAAAGGGTGCCTGTCTGCTTCCTCACTCCTCCCAGTGTTTAGAGAGTGGATTGGGAGACAGTCTTCAGACTGCCTGGTACTGTACTGCCTGGACTGTATTTTCCCTGCCTTCCCTGAACCTTTCTTGACCTAAGAAAAAAGAAACAAAATACCCCCCTCTA